AAACATGTCTTCTCAAAGTTGAACAACTGGGTGGCCCTGGCCATCCTTGCACACTGAGCCTTTCAGGTGCCCACACAGCACTCAGTGCATCTCTGCTTTATGGCTAGGTTCATTTATGCAGCTGAGTCAGCTAGTGATCTCTGTGAAAAAATACATACAGATGTTTACTGTAAAGCACCAAGTCCTTTGGGCAGGGGCATTTACCATAACTATAGAAAACAATGGAACATAAAGTCAGTAAAAAGGCTCACCTACTGAAATATCTGCCTCCAGCAGTGGCCCATAGCAAGAGAACAGCACAAAGACAAGGCAAGTATACGGTGATACTTTTCAGAATGCTCTCCTACTTCAGTGATCCGCAGCAGAATGATTTCCTAAGTCACTGATGGTGCCTGATTTGCACAACCTTGACTGATGGTTGGTTGTTGTTGTTGTTGTTTTTCTTTGCCATTAATCTGCCCATTAGGTTTTGAATCCTTCTGCTTGCAATGAAAGCCTCCTCGGGTGAGGAAGTTCATGATGTGGTAAGGATCAGCACCCAGCTCACACTGCTTGTCTGTCTGCAGCATGAGCTGGAGGGAAGGGATTACACTGTGGGAACTGGAGAGAAGCTCCTGTTGAACTGCTGCCTTGGAGCTCTCTTTGGGCTGCTCTCAGGGGCACACAAAGGAGATCAGCACAAGGCAAGCTCTGAAAGCAGGTGGGACTTGTCAGTGGCAAAATGCAGCTGGAAAGCAGAAATGAAAGGTTTGGATGAGCTCTGGTGTCCTCAATCACATTTTCTTTCTTCTGCGTGTTTGCAGCTTAGCTTGCTCAAATCTAAGTGCTTTTGTCATGGTGCTGTTTGAAAGAACTAAGCATCCATCGCTTGAAAAATGGTGTGAATGTGGGGGTCGGGCTGGATAGAGAACCACATAAGAAAACTCAGAGCAGTGCTGAAATCCATGCTTGCTTCAATTTGTTATGTTGTGGGACTGCATCACTGTGGTGTGCTGAATCCCTCCTGGATGCTGGTGGGTTCTTCAGCAGCTGCCCCTCTCCACTGGCAGCTCTTGCCTGTCTCATTCTTGCATGTTGATCCCTGTTATAACTTATCAATGTTGCATCTGCCCCACTCTGTACTCTGATTAAATTAGAATCCCATTAGCCACAATTGGCTGTCAGACAAAGGAAATGCCAGATCTTATTTTCAATATAAGACATGCCCTCTGCTCTGCTGCGCAGCAGAAAATTTCCAAGGAGTCATAAGGCTGCAGCTTTGATAGGATTCCTACATTTCCCCAAGGATTTGTTGAAAATGTAGCAGCTTGGGAGTCGAATGTTAGATTTTGAATTGCAGAGTGTGGTGTCGGTGTATTGTCTACAGTGAACAAAAGTACTTTCTGAAGAGATGCCCACTCCCCCGTACTGCAGGAGAGGTGTCCTTTCTCAGCAGCAGGCAACCCTCAGCCTCCTCTGATGCTGCAGCTGCAGGAGGAGCTGACAAAAGCTGCCCCTTCAATCCATTAATCCAGGCACACCGATGGAACCTGTGTCCTGCTTCAGGATGAATGACAAGCATCAAGTTGGGCAGTCCTGTCAGAAATACTGGCAAAAATGGAATTGAACGTGCACAATGTTTTTTTTCTATTTTTGTTGAAAGAGCAGTGTAACTGCAGAGCATTTTCTCCAGGATCACACACTGTATGTTCCTCTTGGTGTTCCTAGTAGAGCCCATAGGCCTTGCACAGTGTTCAGGAGATTGCTTGCACATGATGCCCTTTACCAAGAGATACAGTCACGTTCCAATAGGGATTACAAGTATTAACTCATCAAATGTGTTTCTAAATGCAACATGTTGAAGGTGCCTGGAAAATCATCAACATCTCTGCTTGCTTGCTGTTGTGTTAATACTGGCTATTTTCCTTCAAAAGGCAGTGTGTGTCCGCAAACTTTCTATGCAATCAGGTTGCTTAGCAGCTTAAAGTCTTTGAAACTGTGCATCCAGTTTGTTCTTGTAGACCATTTGGTGCTTTTTACTAAATGGTAATAAAACGTAAAGACAATATTTTTTTGTTTCCTCCTCTCCATACATCCCTTCAGGCTGAGCTCAGCAAATCTCTGGATTTCAGCATCCAACATCATAACATTTCTCTGCAAAACTCATTTTGTACTGCATGATGCTCTCACTTAAAAAGATCCCCAACCCAAACAACTTTTCATATGAGATACGTTCGTTATCTGCTGCCAAAGAAAAGTGGCTTCAGACCACTAAGCAGCTGACACCATTTCTATAGACCTTATTTATCTGATATTGGCTGAACTGTGTATTTTGCTTTACAGAAATGGAAAGAAAGCCTGGCTCTAAAGCAGGTGTCTGCAGTGCCTGTGTGTCAGTCAATCCTCTCCAGATCAAAAATTGTGTGCCCACCATGAGAAAGCCAGCAGGTTAAAGCCCTGGTAATATTTCTCTGTCAGGTTATTGCTTTTTCACCTTAGGAAATTCAGCTTTGAATGCTGTTACCTACCTTAGCAGGTCACACTGGAGCACGTGTGCAACATGCCAAAAGTTAACAAAAGTACATCAGGCCCTTCCTGTTGATGGCAGCTCAATTACCAACCATTTGCTGCTCGCATGGGGAAACAGAACATGGTCCTGTTGGGTGCTCCATTAGTACCACTCGGTTTTGGTTGTGTCCAGGTTTGTTTTGTGGTCAGTCCTTTGAAAACAGTCAAACGGCATAAGAATATGACCTGTGGTGCTAGAGCTGTTGCAGAAGCAAGAATTCTTTACTGAAATCAGCCCTTCCAGCCCGGTATTCTCATGCTTATAGTTTCTTTTTTTCATTGTTGTTTTGAACTATTCTGAGGATAAGAAGCAATTTTTTTGTGAATTTTTAGGTGGCACTGGTCTTCAACAGTACATTATCAAGAGCAAGAAGAACATCAACACAAGAAGGACATGAAGCTGTTGCAGTGGGTCCAGAAGAGGGCCAGGAAGATGGTCAGAGGGCTGGAGCATCTCCCCTACATGGACAAGCTGAGAGCTGGGACCATTCAGCCTACAGAGGAGAAGGCTCCAAGGGCACCTTATAGCCCTTTCAATACCTGAAGGGGCCTACAGAAAAGCTGAAGAAGGACTTTTCATATGGGCATATCGTGACAGGATGAGGAAATGGCTTTAAACTGAAAGAGGGTAGGTTTAGACTAGATATTAGGAAGAAATTCTTTACTGAGAGGGTGGTGAGATGCTGGAACAGGTTGCTCAGTGAGGTTGTGGGTGCCCCCTCCCTGGAAGAACTCAAGGCCAGGCTGGATGGGGCTGGGAGCAAGCTGGGCTAGAGGGAGGTGTCCCTGCCTATAGCAGGGGGTCAGAACTAGGTGATCTTAAAGGTCCCTTCCAACCAAAACCATTCTATGATGTTGTGTTTATGCTCTGAGTTGCTCTGTTACGATGCAACTGTGGGGGATTCTAGGTGTGCACAAAGGATTAATCCCTCTCTTTCACCCACAGCTCTCCAGCTGTTTGGTCTTTCAGTCAACCCAAAGTCAGCAAGCACCGAAGCATGCTACAGAAATGCAACATTTGCACCTGATTTGAGAGGGGAGAATATCAGCTGTGTTGCCGTTTTCTGTATTTCAGGGTTTTAGGGCTTTGACCAGCCCCAATCCTATGTTCAGAAAGAATGGAATTAATGGGAGGGACTCCTTAAATAAAGATCTCACTGGAGCACTTAATACATTATTGGGCCTCCTCTGCCATTACATTTGTTGGCCTTCCTTGCTTAGCACGATAATTGCAAATACTCCTGGATTTATAGACTGGGAGTGGATTAACACTTGCACAACGCTATCTTTCAGAAGGTTCAATTTACATTTATCTTCCTCCTGCTGCTAGTCCCATCGATTGATTTCCAGTTCCAGCCTTTTTACCTAAGCCTTGCTGCAGAGGGAGAATTGAGTCCAATATAAGGTCCACACCTTTCCTTGTGAATGGCTTGCTGTTCTTTAAATTGGATTCAGAGTGACTGTGACTCTGTGCTGGATACCAGATCATCTCATCCATTCCCACTTGGCCAGCCTTGCTTTTCCTGTCATGCTCACTTAATTAATATGTTGGTTGAGCAAATTGGGCACTTTTAGTTGGCTCTCTTCTGAGCTGACTCATCAGACTAAGGAAACTGGGTGAACTCTTTATCAGGCAGTGTAGTAATAGTATAAGGGGGAATGGCTTTAAACTAACAGGGGAGATTTAGCCGTCAGAAGGGCGGAAAGGCTGCCCAGAGAAGCCACGGATGCCCATCCCTGGACATGCCCAGGGCCAGGCTGTTTGAGGCTCTGAGTTGGTGGTGCCATCCCTACCCATGGAGTAGGGTTGGGTGGGTTTAAGGTCTCTTCTAACCCAAGGCATTCTGTGTGATTCTATGACAGTCTTGTATTTATTCATATTTCAGAACACACCCATGTGCTACTGCGGATCTTTTTTCTGTTTTTTCTACTTTTTATTGAATAGCCAACCCCACAATTTTGTTGCATCACACTGTTTGCTAGGTGGATGTTCTAATCATGTTGTAGCTGCTGGAGAGACGTGGGCCTTTTCCAGTACTTTTTTTTGCATCAACTATTTTGGAAGAATTTGTACTGTTCCTAAAGCAGATCTGAGGGAAAGTATTCCCAAAATTCAACTATTGTGGAAACAGAAGTACTTTCCTGCCATGCCGTAGTGCAGACTTTAGAGTGGATAAATGCGTAGGTTCTACAATGATGCTTGCAACTCCAAAACACAAGTGCATATCTTTCCTTATCATTTATAATTTTTCTGTGCAGGAAAGTTCATATTTTCTACAGTTCCTAAAAAAACTTATCTTGTTACTGCAGCAGGAACAGCTAAATCTTGTACTGTGGTCTAAGAAATATCCATACTAAGCTCCGTACCAAGTTGAAAGGTGAATTACATCTTCTGTGCTCAAACATAGGATTATTGATTTGTCTTAAAAAAAAAAAAAACAAAAAAAAAAAAAAAAAACTTTTCTGTACTTCTAAGCTTTATTGCCCAGATATTGCCAAAGGCAATACTGCAACCCAGGTAGTTGTACCTGCTTTCAAGTGTCGGTGCCTCTGAACTCCAGCATCAGTACAAATTCATTAATTGAGGTAATCTTGGTTTGTAGCAAAGAACAAGTGCATTTTCAGCTTTACATTCGTAGAGGTATTTCCAATCTTACTTTAGCAAGATACTGCTCTTAATGGCATGAAATTTTGTTTTAATCTTGTTGCACAGCAATAAGGAATGCAATCTATAATACTTTTCTTTTGCTGTATCTACTAAATTACTAACTCTGTACTTTACTGTCATCTACATGCCGAATGAACAGAACACACAAACCTTAAAGATGTAATTAGTCACCTACTCTTTTTTCCACCATGTTTTAGAATGAAAGCAAATTCTCATTTTCTTTTCTGCCTCTTCTCCCAAACTCAACTGCTCTCTCTGGGAATTCCTTTGCCCTGGCTGCTGACTCAAATTTTTTTTCTTAGTTTAAAGTTTGATTGAAAAAGGCCATTCGTTTATAGTCTGCTGAGTTTAAGAAGCAGAAAAATACAAGGTGAGGAGTCAAGTCATTAAATTCCATCTGTTTAAGAAGTCACAATATCTTTTTTTGAGATATTTGATCTGTATTCCTTGTGGAGGAGTCAAATGCTTTGGTTAAGCCAGCTGTCAGGCTTAGTGAAGCTGAGCAGTATTATTACCCTCTCTGCCCAATGGCACACCAGTAACTTCAGAGCTCATGTACAGATGATGTCTTGTCCAAGTCTTAGCCTCGCATCTAGAGACATTAGCATCTCTCAGTAGCTGGCATATTTCCTGAAAGTTTACAACAGCCAGTTCAACTGCCTGCATAAAAATTAGAACAAGGATGTTGGCACAGCTGCCACTGTAAGTTACTATGAAACCCTAAGAAGCATTTGGACATAATTGCAATCGCTGTCCTAGTTACAGTCTTCTTCCTCCCCCCAGATACTTCAGCTGTAGAGATGAAAATCTTATTTGAACTTTATAATCGAGGAGATTGTGAAAGTAGACACAATAGCATTCCTGACTCTGCTGGGGAACAAACAAATGTGCTTTCTAGACCTATGTCCATCCGTTGGGGAAGTATGACAGTGCCATCAAAGATGAGCAGCATCGTGTTCATCGCAGCCTTGCTTCCCAAAAAAGGGACAGCGTTCCTCAGAGAACCTCTCCAAAGCATACACAGGCTGGTGAACTGTGCAGCATTATTCAAAACTGCCCCCTTCTAGGATAGTGACGAATATTAAAGCACACTCTAAAATGATTATATGGAAGTTGCCCTATTTGCCAAGTAAATGAGCTTTTCTCCTGTACTCAGTCTTCGGGGTGATATGGGTTTTGTTAGTAATGAAGAGTCAGCACAGGTCAGCGAGCAAACTCAATTGTCAACTGTCTGCGTGGAACAGAATTGCTGCAAGCCGGGGAGATGGAAAATACCTTCTCAGCCCAGTCCACCTTCTCTGCTGCATGTGCAAAGGGACTTCAGGAATGATGGCATGGAAGATGCTCACAGCAAATTGCTCTTGGGGAACAGCCAGCACACCTTGGTTTGTCCAGCATGTGTAGAATCACTTTGAACTGTGAAAGGGATCACTTCTTTTTTTTTTTTTAACTTTTATGTTCTCAGGCAGATATAAAAAGTGATTTCCTGAGATTGGTGCAGTCTAAAATTTTAACTTATTTTGTACAGCTCCACTCTTTTTTTGCGCAGGAAGTTTTTTCCTCCTCTATAACATGATATGCTTTGACAAAAGCCGTTTTATTCTTTTATCAGCAGTAGCTTGGGATGGGCATAATATTTACAAACGATGCCATGAACAAGTTATGCAAATCATCCAAATGAGAGCCAGTAAGCTTTTATATCCTGCCAAACAATTGTGTATTGTAGAACTGCCACATTTTACAGTCAATTTGAGAAATGTTTTAGAGACTTTAAACCATAGTGCCCTATTTTTCGTATTGCTCAACATATGCAACAGGATTCATTAGTACAAGTCCAACAATACAACCTCTGGAATAGGAAGAAAAAATTCACTGTAATAGATTTTAGAAAGCTCAGTGACTTCGAAAGGCTTCTTGGAACTTCATAATGCTGTCAATTTTTTAAAGATCTTGTCTAAAATTTAAAACCTGTATGAATGTAGAGAGGCAATCTGTGCCTTTCTACTAGGCACAGATACACTTCCCTAGTGCATGTAAATGAGCCATTATAAAATAAATCAGTAAAAAGTAATGGATTCTCATAATGTATTAAGCTTTCCAAAGGGCTCATCTACACCACAGAATTTACTGGTGTCTGAGCTGAGCTCAGGATCATTGATGTTACTGGGGAATTTAAATGTTGCTCTCTGTCCCTTTTGCTGCTGTTCTGAAGGGCATCAGTTCTAGGAGGCTCTCATTACCCAGCAGTACTCCCACAATCCAAGCACCCGAGCTAGATTTGCAGTTCCTCCCTTTCCACGTTTGCTGTGAGCTGAGTGGAATCACAGGCACGTGGATAACGTGCGAGGTGACAGGAGCTGCGAGGCTGTCAAGGTGGGCGGCCATGTTGGGCGGCCATGTTGGGCGGCCATGTTGGGGCGGCCAGGGTGGAAGTTTCCAGAAGCTGCTCCTCAGCCTTGCCTGAAGCAGGGCATTGAGCAGGGCTCAGCACTGCTCACCCATCGCCGGCTGCTGGCCCCAGCTTAGCAGAGTTGCATAGGACGGCCAGGCCCCCGAGGAGAGGTCTGCAGGGAGAGCCCCAGCTGCGGCCCTGTGCTTGGGCTGAACTTACTGTTGGAGTCAAAGCGCTTTCCTCTGGCTCAGGGCACCAGCAGGTGAGTGAGGCCCAGAAAAGTGAGACCACGTCAGTGGTTGAGACGTGGAAGTTACCCATTTTCTCTGACCTCGGGGCTGTACAGCCCTGAATAACCGCCGGCTGCAGGTCGAGGGCTCTGTGCTACCTGTGCAGTGAGGAGTTACAGATCATTTCTGTGACGACGTGCCTTAGGAATGATTTGTTTCTACACACTGAGTTTGGTGTCACGTGCTGCTATGCGAAGATATTAAAACTGCACCTCGCTGTCATCTGAGGAACTGCAGGGCCCCTCTGTCTGTATCTCCATCACTGGACGTTCCCCAGTTCAGGGAACATCCTGCCCACATTGCTGTACAGTGGCCTTAGGTGTTCCCAGGCTAACCTGGTGCCCATCAGACTGCCTTCTGCCTGAACTACCAGCAACAACGTCACATTTGCAGTATTATTCTTTAGACCATATAGGTGGGAACTGCATTAAACTGTTACCCCTGTTATGAGGCACCTTAAACCTCAAATGTTTTTGGCTCTGAGAAAGTAACTACCAGCCTTAGTTCTGCTGTTATATTACAAACAATTTTGCCAGTTCTGTGGTATGTACTATATATATTGCACGTGTTGCAGAGACAGGAAGGGATGATGGATGGGTAATATGCGGCCTGCTTTCTGCTTCTGTTGATAAGTGACTGATACAGCTGACAAAAACCTAGATTAAGTAAACGGAGCCTATATAACTCAATCAAATTGAATAACTGTTTACATATTGTCAATCGTTATCTGCAGAATTTTCAATTAGGAATGATGGATCTCATTCCTGTGTAGAAATAATGGGCTGGTGCTATCAGGTATGTGGGCAGTAGAATTGGCCATCTGACTGTGCTCATCCTCAGGACTGGAACTGGCGAGAAACAGAAGAGAAACAAATGTTCTTTGGACCAACTGCAGTAATTTTGGCTCCAGCATAGAACAAGAACACAACAAAGGCTTCAGAATTTGGCTCCTAAATATAATCACAATAATCTGTAGACTCTTTTAGAAGCTGTTGTAACTAGTTACTACTCAAGGAGCGATTTCCATCTCATTCCCATGAGCAGTATTTGCAGAAAATATAAAGTATATTTCTATTAGAACAGGAAGAAATGTCTGTCAACATAATACTGCTTCATTTCACAATTCACTGTAGGACGAGAATGGGATTTCAGGGCTGTTGATGTTTTAATTTCATGTTTCTGTGTCCCAAGTAAAATGCTGCATACAAATGATGCCAGTTAAACAGATTTAGCTCGTCGGCAGCTATATCGTGATTGTACCACATGCTAAAGGTGGAGGAGGGCTTATGCCCAGCTCTGTATCATCAAGAGCTTGCTTTTAATTTAGTGACTCGTCTCTGCAGCATCCTGATAACAAAACATGGCTTCAGATTCCCAAGATAACATTGAGTGCCAATTGCACATCAGGGAGAAAATAACTTGGCTTGCAAAAGCCTAGATTGATCCACAAAGTAAGAGGTTATAAACTGTAATGGAAGTGCTGACACAACCAAATGAGATAATACACTCCAGTACAGCTATCAGTGCGGATGGAACATGCAGCACTCAAAGTGTCTCCGATGTGCCCTGGCCATTCATGCTGGAGTACAGCTCTCAACACGGAGGAATTAAGGTGACACAGGAGAGCTCGGTGGGCGTGGGTGCTCTCCCTCTTGGGGGTTTGGCACCCTCTGCTGTCCGGTCTTTGAACAAAAGAGGGTTTGGTTTTGTTTGGTTTTGTTTTTTGTTTTGTTTTTTAAAGACTGTAAAACATAAAACTGCAATGGAAATTGTTAAATCAGATATTTTGTAATATAGACACCATGTTCTTTCTTGCCACAGCAAAATAGGAACGTTTTTTCAAAATTCTTTTCCCTGCTTTGCAGTTGACACAGTTGCATTGACACTGTTTCTCGTGAATAATGTGGGCAAGTATTGGCTCCTAGTCCCAGCACATGGCTGCCCGACCACTCCTGTTGGGTGCAAACGAAGCACAGAAGCTCTGGTCCAGGAGCAGTCTCAGGTACAATCTCAGGTATCCTAGGACAAAGAGAGGTCTTTCTGCCTCAATGGAGTCTCCATGCAGTCATCTCAGAGCTGAGACGGCCTTGCCCCAGGGGAAGTGAAGTGGAGACAAGGGGTTTGATAGCTAACAGCTGGCATGACTGTTCTCACCACACAAGCATCTTGTGCTGCAGTTGATAGTGCTGAAAATTGAGTAGGGCACCTTATGCATGTTTCAGTTTTTTTAGCTAAATATTTATTCACTCCAGTGTTTTTTGGAGGCAATTAACAAATGCTTTCCCTGACAGTGAGACACAAAGCTTCACTTTTATAGCTGGAACACAAAGGAGCACCTATCTCTGCAGCAAGGGGAATTGAAAGCTGACATCTGGAAAACAGGATGCCTGGTGCTTAACTGCCTCTATTGAGTATCCCCTACATTGATGGAGTGAAAAATATTGTATAGAATAGGCATAGCAGCCTTTGTTTGTGATGTATTCAGCTTTTTGGTTATGCACTTTATGCTGCATTCAAGATAAACTTAGAGATGTATCAACTCAATCTGCAGCACACACGGTGCCAGTCTTCCCTCAGTGGGAAAGCAGGAAACTAGTGCCATGGTTTGCCCAGCAGATGTCCTTTGGTGGCTTCAGTTATAAAGTGGCTTCAGGTAGGCTTCTCCAGCTTTCATTTACCACTGGCTTCAATTATGAAATCAAGGCTGACAATAAAAGTAGAACAAAGTACCCTTCTTCTGAGGGTACTGAAATAAGTAGGTCCTAAGAGACACTGCTTGGGTCAGCTTCATCTCTGACTAACATTCCTCTGGCAGGAAGCCTGGAGCTCACAAACACACATGATCCAAGGCCATAGAGACATAAGTCTGTGCAGGCCACATCACATGGGAGCTTCATGCATGATAGGGAGTGTATCCCCCAACCAAGCAAGGAGTAGCAGCTTCTTCCCCTGCACATGCTAGAGCTGGATGGTTCTTCTCAGGGCACTGAGTTCAGCTGGGGCTTGAGGGAGGCTGTTCTCTGCAGGAGCTGCCTGCCTCTGCCAATCTGCTGTACTCCTAGGGAAAAATAGCTTGGGGAATGCAGCTAGAGCGTAAATTGTCACGTGTTTCTCTTGTGTTTCACTTCACTCCAGCAATTTTCACTCCAAATCCTTATCAAAGCATTAATAAATGGATTTACTAATCAAATGCTTTTCTTCTCCATACTCACTCTGCTTCTACTCACATCTTCTCAGACATATGAGGATATCTACAGATGCATAATGTTCAGACTTGCCTGTATTTTAAAAGGAAGAAAATACTCAGATTCTAATGAATTTCATTTTTGGAAATACCTATGCTTTTCTGCTGCTCTTCCCATTCAGACTCAATAGAAAATAAATAAAATAGAAGTAGTGGAGAAGGCAGGCCTGGTAGGATTTGCATACACACTTTGAAACACAGTGCATTGGGTAGTGGTAGTTGAAAAGCAGCTTTGTATTTGTCTCTTTCTGCAAAAGTTGAGTTCAAATCAGAGAATAAAAACATGGCCTTATGGAAAAATAACTCTCAGCCGAGCACATATCTGAAAAAAGACCATAAATGCTTTAAAAATAAATAAATAAGGACACAGGATGAGATAGAAACCTGAGGGATAGGAAAAGGTTGAATAAGCTTTTGAGATCTCCAGTGAGTGGAAGACACAGTGCTCAGTGCTGCCTGCACACGGCGCAGTCTGTTGCTGAGCTGAACATTCAGCCACAGCTCGGTTTCCCCAAGCATCAACCAAGACATTGTTTTTATTGATTTATTTTGCCAGCTTCCCACTGCAGTGATAGGATGACAAAAGAACCACCTGTGAGTATCCTAATATATCTAATGCCAGTGGATTTTCAGGTTGAATAAAAACAATAAATCTTTCTAGGCACAAAGAGGAAACCACGAGGAAAGTTAATCTAGGAAAGTAAAGAGCATGATTTAGGAATATTGGGTTTGTTAGAATGAATCAGACTGGTTCACTATCCTCTCTGCAGAGACAGTTCCTAATGGATGGCACACGAGGTGACAAAATAAGCCCCCAAATAACTGTGTGGTGACACTTCAATTCAAGGGCCCAACTCTGCAGCACCAGTAAGCACTGGTCTGCTTCTCACTGCCTTACACACATCACAGACACTACAAATATTAGTTGGCACTTCTTAAGGAATCCAGATCTAAGACAGATGCCCGTGACCGTGCTGATCACTGCATCTATTGTGGGATGCTCCCTGCAGGTCTCGGCTTTTTCCCTATGTCAGCACAGTAATACTGGTTGTACAACCCTCTGTAAAACTGAGAGGAAATAAATAAACATATAAATCTGTTCAATTGTTTGATATGCTCACACAGCGAGGCTAAAACAGCAGCTAGTCAAAGAACATGTGGAATCCAGCCCACTGGGAAACCAAGTTCTCTTTCTCCACAGTTCTTCAGTGGGTTTCACTGCTTCATCCCTCCCATCCACGGGCTGAACCTGTGTCATGGGGTGCTCTCAAAAGTGAGCGTGAAGCTCTTGTGGTAACACAAGGTTCCTCATTCAAAAGGTTATTTTACGCTCTTCTGAATCTTTTACTAATACAAGCATCCAGAGTAGCACACATCTGAAAATGTGTTACTCTGCTTTCCCCTAAACAGGTACAGCATATGCTGCGACTGATGAAGCTGTTTTGCTGTTGTACCTCAGCCCAGACCCGTTCTCAGAGATGCATCTGAAAAGGTTAGTTCCTGCTGGGTAGGAATTTCACCTCCCGCTCTCTGCATTTGGTTTCCATGCCTAAATTTTGATCCTGATCTCAGAAATCTAGACATTTTGTTTGACATTCATCTTAGATTTATGCTAACAAGGCTGCAAGATTACATATATGTAAGCACTGCTACTTACGTACAGCAAGAATGCAGTTTTGCGTGGTCTGGCAAATTATCTGATATGCTTCTTGAGATTCCTGGGAACATAAATAAAAGCTTAGTATATTTAATCTATGCCCCTGAAACACCAAATAATACTGGTACTGATTGCCTGCAGGGGTCAAGCCAGAAAATGCACACATACCTACTTTAGACCTGCACTGATTCAGGAAAAAAAAATCAAGCCGAAGTGAAGATGTAAGAGCTCAGGAAGTACTTCAAAGGAAGCCAGTAGAAGAGAAATGCTAGAAACTGACACTCACCTATAACAGAATTCTTAAAGCCTCACATTCAATAAACCCACAAACCAAAAGAAATTAAGCAGCCTTTGCTGCTTCAAGTCGGCATGCTACGGGGTTGTAACAGATCCATGGGCATTAAAAACTAATGGCATAAATTGGTTATTTAAAGCCAATATTGATTTGTTGCCAGATTCTGCATCTCAACAATTGCACTTGAGTGTCCATTTACTTTGCTCAGAAATAAATATTCCTCCCCAGCTGCGTGTGCTCTCTGTAAGGGAAGAATCAGTTTTCACCTCTGGCCAAGGGACGGGCTGTTATCTCAAGCCACGTGGTTCATTGATTTATCAGTGGTGGTGTAAGTACAGAAATGTAAAGGGATGCTGTCATGATCATTTATTTAAAAGGTTTTTTTTGGAAGAAGAATGGTAGTGCTTCCCAGGTAAGAATGTGAGAGGTTTTCTGAGAATTTGAACGTATAGTTAGTTGAGGTGAATTATCTCCATTTGATTTTTCTGTCTGGCAGAGTTAATTTATTTGTACAAAAGTATTTAATGATGCAGAGAGATTGTTATTGGTGGTTTAATTATTGTTTTGATCAGAGCTTCTGTATGGCTGGTAGTACACTTAATAAGATAATCATACTTTTTCATCTGTTAATGAGTCTTTGGAGTATTCCCAGCACAGATTTAAGTCTTCATCTTTTTCCCGCTCTTGGTTTAATTTCTGTGGTTTTTTTGGCTTGCATAATGAAACGAGGCGTGCAGCTTCACTGCTGTTTGTAATCTGTCTTCCTCATCTGAGCAGGGCTGATCAGGATTTTCTAAAACTGAGCAACATTTATAATTTGGAGAAGAAAATGGCTTTGTCTATAAATTGAAACAAAGAAACAGGATATTTGCTCTTAGGTAAATGGCAATATTGCTGTTGCATAATCTTGTGGCAGTGTCTGAGCTTTGCCAAAAGAAAGCATACTGCCTACCTTTCTTTCCCATTCACATATTTTAAAGAAATACATTTCCTCTACCTTCTTCCAAGAGCTAATTGGTATTATAGTCCAATGAAGGAAAATACTGACAATAGTCAGTATCTTAGCAAAGGAACAACTGACTTAAGTAAAGGGTACTTGCATATTTGCTGTTGATCATCACTACCTTGTAGGTATGTTGAACTGTATGAAGCTGGAAAGTGCTTAGAAATGCTAAGAGGAGAACCATAAAAGAGCAAAGTTGGCATCACAAAGTTGGCATCACAAAGTTGGCATCACAAAGTTGGCATCACAAAGTTGGCTTTGATTCTCTGTAGAGACAACTATTCCAGTTGTCCCAGTGATGTGTGTATTAAGTTGTCCCATACTCAGCTTTCCTCTACTTCGTGACTACTTGTTTTCCCTCTATTTCATTTTTTTCTGGGCTCAGATGGCCTGGGTCTTACTTGCTTTGAAGCCAATACGTTTCTGCTCCAGTGGTGCAGATACCAAGGTGGCCTACACTACAGAAACCTATGGGCCATAAGGGATGCAGGGAGGCCACTGGCATCTGAATGCTGGTGCACACAGTCTGCCAGGTGAATTGGCCTGGGAGTTGGGAAATTCCTCCTCCTCCTCCTCTGGAATCTCTCGATGCCATGCAATAAAGCCCTACGTTTACACCAACACATCCTGGAGTATGATGCTTCCCTCTGTTTGCCTGTTGTGCTACTATCACTTGTTAGCTGAACACCTCCCAGGAACTGGAGGAGTTGTAAACCTTGCAGAAGCCCAAAGTGAAAGCCACGCAGTGAAATCCCACCCAGTGTTAAAAGCTTGTAGTTAAAAATAAATCAAGAAAGCAAACTCAAGGAGTTAAAGAGAAATGTAATCCGACTGTAATATTTGAATCCAAATCTATCCAGGAAGCCTGACCTGGTTATTCAAACCATTTTACCTTTTTGGAGATAAAGCAAAGCAAATCTTTTCCACAACTTAATATTCTTCCAGCAAGAAGTCAGTGTTTTCTTAAGCATGCATGAGCTTTAGATTCATGTGCGGAGGTTTCTTCTATCGTGAGAGCAGAACAGCCTTAACCATACCTTGTGATGCTGCTGGAGTGGTTCCACACAGCTGCCTGAGGCCAAAGGCTCTCCTTGGTCAGTTTTTAATGCTTCACACCAGCTTACTTTACAGCACACACAGTTTGTGCTGTGGTGTCTAAGAGCACCCATACACCTCTCACGGCAGTCCATGAGCATTTTGTAGGAGACCTCACCTCTGCCAGATGGTTGGCAGCACTTCATAGAGGTTAAGCATGCAACGGTCCTTGCTTGGGTGTGCATCCATCTCCTTACTGGTACATCTTAGAGAGCATCATTGGGAATTGCAGAAAATGCAAAACAAATCCTACTGCTTGCCAGCATGCAATCAGTGTATGAAGCAAACAGCTAGAAGCAATCCCTTCTGCACAGGAGCTACACAGTACGTTCTGCACCAGTAACATGCAGTAAGCATCACATGGTTTGGGACTTAGAACAACCTGCATTACAGAGTATGTTAGTCCAGATTTACTTGCAGAGCTGGGTGATGGCTCTTTGTTCATTCCTTGTGAGGGCCTCTTCTGGAGTGCCTCACTGCCTTGTACCCAGTAAGTGCTTCACTTCACCTCAGAGAGCTGCCAGCTTCCAGAGGCCAAAGGAGACCTGCTAACATTCTGGAACTTAGAAAGAAAGGACTGGAAGGAACTAGAGTGGAGGAACAGGGCTTGCTATAGCTTCTTGTGTTTTATCTGGTATTGCAGGCCTGCTGAGTTAGAAATAATTTCCTATTCAGTACACATGGGGAACTGAGGAAGGGGCATCAGCCACATCTGTCTGTGAGCATCTCGGGGGGGACTGTGTGGTTCCTAAATGTTTCTTCCCCTAAAGCTCTCAGCTGTAGCTTAAGATGTTCTCTCATCTCCACTGTGATATGTATAATGTATCCTACATCTGAAAAGTCTTTAACTGTGAAAAAAAAGGGAAAAGGTGGCAAGTATTCTAATGGCCAGTGAAGGAAATATGAGGGCACCCCATACCACAGGGAAGGTGTACGATGGAGTAAAGCTGCTCTCTCTTAATAGGGGCAGCCTTATACCATTATCATAAAACTTCCAAAGATAGCTTCTGCTGGTAGGCTGGAGAGAGAAAGTATTTTTACATTCCCCTTTGCAGAACAGCATTTAAGCTATGTAAAAGCTCATGTGCTTTTATCTCCAGCTTTGTGGAGGGAGACTTAGAAAAGGAGCAGGATTCCAGACCTGAAGACTGGACTGTCTTCAGGCTCAGCTTGAGGCTTGTGTCACTGCATCTGTGACTTGTTTCCTTTACAGAAACGGTTCAGCCTTCTGTCATTATTCAAGTTAAGTCTAAATAACCTAAACAAAACGCAAGGAGAAAAAAAATGTATATGAAAAGTGAGCAGCATCATGGCAGGTTTCTTTTATGTACTTGTTTTCCTTAAAGTATTGAGAATGGGTTTGTAGTTTAAAAAAAACAACAAAACAAAACGACAAAACAAATGACCCAAGTGAGGTGAAATGGATATTAATATGGAGTAATTAAAATTGAGATTGTAGAGGTCAGGTGAAATGAGAAAGAAGAAGAAATGCAGATGAAAAAAGCGGCTACATGTAAAAGAGCATGCCTGGGAATGGAACTGGAAAGAAGGCAGAAGGAAGATGTCTCGAGCTGCAGGGACCATTCGGAGATGCACCTAGCTGCGTGTGACCTGAAACCTGTTGTACTAAGTCTGGACTTCAGCAAGCAGGCAAGAGCAAACCCCTTGGGTCTCAGCTGCTGCTTCCTTCCATCTTCTTGCCCACGGCAGGGGGGTTAAAACTAGATGATCTTTGATGTCGCTTTCAACGCAGGCCATTCTATGATTCCATTCTATGATCTTATGGCTCAGCCTGATCAGTCACATCTGCATGCTGATGGGATGCCTTGGAAAGAGAGCTGTTTTGAGTATCTGAAACAGCAAGAAGTGGTGTCTCTGTAGCCATTAATATCCTCAGTGCCCATGACGTGCCAGTGCCTGGCACCTGCTGCATGCTCTGGAGCACTTTTTGCGAGGCCATGGCTGGAGGTGGCTGCAATGAGTTGCACTCATGCTGTGTGCAGTCAGTGTGCTGCTGCAGCTGCAGAGGGGAGGTCTACATGGCTCATCCTATGTGTCTGTGTTAAGGCTGGGGATGGACAGAACGCCTGTCACAGGGCTGCCAGCTGAGCCACTCGCCAGCCTTAAACCTGACGTCATTTGCAGACTCTATACAGCCTGAAAACAGGAAGAGAGAAGCAGAAGTCCAGGGAGTCACAGGAGGTGCCGTTATCTTCTGGGATAGAGTGTCTGATGCATTGACCTCAGAAACTCCAACGGCAGCCACCTCACTTCAGAAAATGCATCTGGTTGCTGTCCCCAGAGCTGTGTGTGCTGCCCATGGGAACATGGAGGGCACTGAGTATCAGCAAGTCTTCGTCAGCTTTTGTTCTCTAGCACTGTAGAATTCTGTGTATTTTGGAATGAGACATGCCAGTATGCTGTTCTAAGCCAGTAGCTGAACAGATTCAGCAGCATTTGCAGAAGTCCTGCAAAGTAAGTTGACAGCCCTGAGCTGAGCTCCTGGTGCAGCTGGGGCAGCCCAGCTCTGTCAGGTCCCTCTGGGCACCCTAAGCCCTGCTGTGTGCCCACAGCTCTCGCTGTGCCCCTGTGCTTGGTTTCATAGAATTGTAGAGTTGTTTGAGTTGGAAGGGACCCTTAAAGGCCATCCTATCCAACTCCCCTGCAATGAACAAGGACACCCACAGCTCCATCAGGTGATCAGAGCCGGGTCCAGCCTGACCCTGAATGGCTCCAAGGATGGGGCATCCACCAGCTCTCTGGGCAACCTGTGCCAGTGCCTCACCGCCCTTACAGTAAAAAAAACTTCCTAATATCCAGTCTAAATCTTCCCTTTTAGTTTGAAACCATTTTTCCTTGCTTTGTCACCACAGACCCTCCTGAAGACTCTGTCCCCTTTTTTCTTACAACCCCTTTGGATACTGACAGGCCGCCCTCAGCTCTCCCCACAGCCTTCTCTTCTCCATGCTGCACAGCCGCAGCTCTCAGCCTGTCCTCACAAGGAGGTGTTCCATTCCATCGGTCATTTTCGTGACCCTCCTCTGGATGCAGTCCAACAGGTCCGTATCTCTCCTGTACTGAGGATGCAGTACTCCAGGCGAGGTCTCACCGGCGCAGAGCGGAGGGGCG